AGTTTTCAAGGATTTTTTTATTATATAATTCGTAGATTTTTTGTAATATTTTCTGGGACTTTCCTTTACAGAAACAAGGGATTTTTAAAAAATACTTTCCAGGACTTGCTGGCCAAAAAAATTTGATTTTTTATTGTTTTGATTGTTTTTCAAAATCTTCCCAGTGAATCGTGAATTCCTTTTTCCAAGGATCCCCAGAAAAAAATTCGAATGTTTCACAATTTTTTCCAACAACGAGAGCTTTTTTCTCAGGGACGTCCTTCAATTTTTTTTTCAAGGATGTTTTAAAAATTGCCCTCCCAAAAATTTCAGATTTAAGGCCGAATTTTTTATATTTTCTTTTAAAAAAACCAGAATTTTTTTTAAGGACCTCCTTCAATTTTTTCAAGAACCTCAGATTAATTTTTAAGAGACATTTTGAAATTTTTCCGGTTAAAGATTCTACATTTTTTTAAGACCTTATAACCAAAAACTGGGGATTGTTTAGAACACTTTCTAAAGACTTCCGGAACGAAAATCTACAATTTTTTCAAGGATCTCCTTACAAAAATTCGAGAAATATTCTTAAAAAAATGACATCTGGACTAAAAATTCTGGATTTTTTAAGCGATTCTCTTCGAGGATCTTCTTGCTAAAAATCGAGTTTTTAATTTTTTTGTGGGAGACCTTTTGACAAATAATCGGGAATTAACCACAAAATCAAAGACCTCCCAACAAAAGACACGGGATTTTTAAATATTTTTGAGGACTTCTTAAATATCATTTTTTTGTTAAAATTTTCAATTCAAAAATCGTAGGTGCTTTCAAGATCCTGGAGGTTAAGTATTTCTTAAGGACCTTGTGATAATGACTAAAAATTGGATCAAAATCATGCATTTTTTAGAAATATTTTAAAAATGTTTGTCCAATTGGATATTTTCAAGTTCCTTAGCCAAAAATTTACGATTTTTAACATTTTTTATTCGATGACTTTCCGATCAAATAATCCAGACTTTTTTTCATGGAGCTTCTGTAAAAATCGAGCATTTGTCAAATGTTTCTTTTAAGGCCTCCTGACTAACTATGCAGCATTTGTTTATTATTTTTTCACGATTAAGGGCATTTTTCCAGGACCTCCCGTCGAAAAAATCTTGTTTCTGTGAATATTTGTAACATCCAAAAAATAGTGGATGTTTTCAAGTACTTCATGATCAAAAATCCATTTTTTTGTGATTTTTCCCAGTGTATCTCACTAAAAATCGTTGATTTATAGCAAATATGATGTGACCAACTATTTTTCAAGGAACTGCTAACCACATATCATGGATTTTGACTTACCTTCTGCCCAAAAACTAGGATTCCACAAGATATTGTGACAAATAATAAAAGAAAACCATCAGGTTTCATTCTCTAATTATCGAATAATAGCAACTTAAACTAATTTGCTCGTTTCCAATTTATTGGTAGATGTTGCACGTAAATGGTCTTCCTAGATCTGGAACCAATATTTCCCAAAGACCTATAATCCCTCAGACGTGGCAAAAGATTAACATTTATTATGGGTTTTTGGCTGAAACGCAACGAAATCAGCGTTAACGAATAGTCTGAAGTGCGTCTTTCCTGTATTTGTGAATTCTCCAAAAAGTCACCGGAATGGACATTTTCGTATTTTGTCTACAAAAGTTGGCAAACTATTTCACACATTGAATATTTTTGGGATGGCCATCCAAAACTGCTTCGCTTTTGCAAGGTCCGGTAACCCCCATCCAAATGTGCGTGGGGATCGGGCAATAATAACGACCTGTTGACAAATTTTGCAGTTTTTTGGTCCATTTCAACCCCTAAATATATGGCGATCATCTCCAAAAAGAGTAGGCATCTATTCTGACCCTCATCTTATACCCATGCAAAATTTCGTAAGGATCGGGCCATAAATGCGATTTGTATATGATATCCTGATATCCTAACTACTTAGTTTTGTTAGCTGTAGAAATATTACCAAATGTTTAATTCAAAATGAAAATATGCCAAAAATATGACAAAATTGAAAAAATATGAGAAAATGTTACAAAATCAATATTTTCATCTATAGAAAGATATTTTTATGCGATTTTTTTAGACGTTTTTTCTTTCCTGCCAAGAGGCCATTCTGAATTAATGAGAACTGTCGAAATCAATTCAGCCGTTCTCGACATATAAGAGATCTTTCAAGCATATCCTCTTTGATAGACATATATCGCACATATTTTGCCATATATCCGATTTGTTGGATGTTAACATCAATGTAAAGATCAGAAGTAGCCTTGTCATGGCTTTGTGATTTAGCCGGGATTTAAAATATTCGCGGTTTAATGAAAAATTTTGAATTTTTTCAACACAAAAGATATGGTCTATTTTACCCGCTAAATATTATCCGATGACCACTCAAATTGGTAGGCTTCTTCCCTGCCCTAAACTCTAGCTACATGCGAAATTCCGCGTCGATTGGTCTATAATTGCGACCTGTATAGCTACTGCAAAATCCGACATTTTTTCAGTGTTTGGTCCATTTCAACCCCTAAACATTTGGCGATCATCTCCAAAAGAAATAGGGTTCTATTCTGACCTCAATCCCACCTACATTCTAAATTTCGTGAAGATCGGGCCATAATTGCGACCTGTAGAGTGATTACAAATTAACATGGACAGACGGACAGACGGACAGACGGACGGACGGACATACATAGCTAGATCGACTCAGCTCGGCGAGCTAGGAAGATCCATATATACTTTCCTATGTGGGAAACCAATATTTCGAGGTGTTACATAATTTTTGGCCCAATCAAACTTATAATACCCCCAACACATAGTGTTGTAGGGTATAAATATATATTTATATGTATATATCAGTTTTTTTTTCTGTCCAAATAAAATTCAAAACTCGAGAATTTGTTTTTTTTTTTTGTCAAGAGCTTGTTAATCAGAAATAGAGGATTTTTCTTAAAACCTTCTGACTTATAAATCCAGTATTTCATAAAGAATAAACTCAATTATTTTTGTATTTTATTTATTTATTTATTTATTTATTAATCTTGACTTCGTTACCAAAAAAAATGATTTTTTTTCCAGATATACATATTTAAAATCAAAATTCGGTTATTAAATATATGTCAAAGATCTCCTAATTAAAAATCCTGGATTTTTATACCCTCCACCATACTATGGAGGGTATATTAACTTTGTCATTGCGTTTGTAACTCCTCGAAATACTCATATCAGACCCAACAAAGTATATATATTCTTGATCAGCGTAAAATTCTAAGTCGATTTAGCGATGTCCGTCTGTCTGTCTGTCTGTCTGTCTGTCCGCCTGTCTGTCTGTCCGTCTGTCTGTTGTAATCACGCTATCTTTCGAATGAATTGAGATAGGTGGCTAAAATTTTGCACACATGTTTATTTTTCCAGTAGGCAGGTTAAGTTCGTAAATGGACCATGTAGGTCCACGTTTTCATGTAGCCCCCATATAACGGTACCACCCTATATTCGGTATTTTGATGATTTTAGCGACATTATTCACGGGAATTATTTCAAATTTGGTATTTGAAGTTCAAAATGGATACTACACCCTAAGACGGAAAATTATCCGTGCAGGTCCAGGTCTTCGTATAGCCCCCATATAACGGTACCTCCCGATATTCGGTATTTTGATGATTTTAGCGACATTATTCACGGGAATTGTTTCAAATTTAATATTTAAAGTTCAAAATGGATACTACACCCTAAGACAGAAAATTGTCTGTGCAGGTCCACGTCCTCATATAGCCCCTATATAACGGTACCTCCCTATATTCGGTATTTTGATGATTTTAGCGACATTATTCACCGGAATTGTTTTAAAATTGGTATTTGAAGTTCGTTATGGGAACTGCAGTCTGTGACAGAAAATTGTCTGTTCGGGTCCAGGTCTTCGTATAGCCCCCATATAACGGTACCTATTTTGATGATTTTAGCTATACTATTCACCGTTTATTTCAAGTTTCGAATTTGAATATGGTAATGGCTTATGACAAATAATGCATATGTATGTCCGCGTCGTATAGACCCCAAAATAACGGCTATATTCGGTATTTTTAAAATTTTAACAGAATTTTTTAAGGATTTTATTTTTTGAAAATTTCCAAATTCGTTGCAAATGGTGGAGGGTATTAAAAGTTCGGCCCGGCCGAACTTACTGCTTTTTAACTTGTTTTCAACTACTTTTTTAAGGACTTCCAGAATTAGGGACCATTAAAAAAATCTTTAAATTGAAAAAAATTAAACTGAACGAAAATCCTGGTTTTCCAGAGGATATTTTCAAATAGTAATATTATTTCTTATATTTTTATACTTTTTGGTTATCCATCCATACATTTGTATAAAACCGAGATCTTTTTCGAAAGATTTTTTAGATTTTTTAAGATCTGTGGTCAAAATCCGATTATTAAATATATTTTTTGTTCAAAATTATGATTTTTTAGAACTTCTCTAACTGCAAGGATTCCTGACCTAAATTCTAACCTATATGTTCCTTATTCGTTTTCATACATTTCACATGTCGTGTATAGTGATCCTCCCTGTCGCTTTTAGTAGCCGCCTTCCATTACTCATTTTTATTATTTCTTAAATTTTATGTTAACTTTTTGGTTATCCATACAAACAAATGCATATACATATATTTCAATCTACATTTGTATGTTTTGATGGCTGTTAAATGAATTCGAAAACGCAGTCAACAATGTTGGAATACAGTTTTGGCCAATTAGAAGATATACGTATATCTGTTGGATTTTTGTATTTCATTAGCCTTGTATTGTTGTCCCATGTGGTCGCTGTTGGCTGGCTGTCTGTCTGTCCGTCTGGCTGCTGGCAATGCTCGCATGTGTCACCCCGATTTTCTGCCACCATCACTTGTGGCACATTTCAATGCATTAACGCATGGCGTGGCAGCGACAACATTTTAACTATAAATATTGTTGCAATTTCTAGAGAACTGATTAGTTGCAGTCGCTAACAAAATCGAATTGGAGTAGTGGCGTTGAAATATAAACTACTGAGAAAATATAAAATATTCCTCTGTTCTTTTCATAAAAGTCCGGAAAACAAACCAAAAATGAAATTCATTGTAAGTCTTTGTTGTGGAATAATGACAGAAATTCGTTGAATTTAGTTGGGAAATTTTTTTTTTTTTTAAATTTAACACCCTGGAATTGTCAAAAACTGTGTGTGATAAGTGAGAGGGTCCCAAAGGACCCACAAAAATTATTCCAGTTCAATACAGGCATTTTTCTGGAAGAAATTCAAAATCCATGTTAGTGCGAAAGTGTTGGTATAATTGTGGACTTTTAAGTTTGTGTTGTCCTGTTAGATCTTGGATCACAGGATGTGAAAATAAAGGAAATCATTTTTGAAAAAAAAAAATAAATAAAAATTTGTAATTATTTATTGTAGGGTCCTAGAATCTCATAGCTGATGAAAGGGTTAAAAATAATTCCCTACAGTTTTTATTTTGTGAAATATTTTCACATTGAACATATGTCCTTGAACTGTTCTGAAATGTGTATAAATACTTCAAAAAGTTAAGGCCAAAAAAAATAAGCTATGATTCCTAACACAAAGCAAAAAAAAAAAACAAAAAACATTTTAAATCAACAGCACGTAAAGCAAAGTGGACAAAAAAACAGGAAGCTTCCAGTGAACACAAATCACAGAACAGATTGAACTTTTTTTCCGGGAAAACAATGAAATATTTTCAATAAAAATTATTAGACTGAAGCCTTCCGTTGAAAGTGCTTGACAGTTCTCAAAAAAAAAAGACCTCATGGGAAATGAACTAAAAAAAATGTGTGTCAGAATATGAAAGGAATTTTTTTCAGGACCGAGGGAGAAAGTTATTTTTAGCTAGATTTAGAAAATTGAAATAAGAACAAAAACAATATTAATTTCGGCCGGCATAAACATTCTGTTTCCGCCACAATGTAAAAATGTATAGCACAAAATATAATTGCAGGAAAAACTGAATGGATTTTGAAATTAGAGCTAAGAAGTTTAATAGTATCAGTCGGTTTTGCCGACACATGTATACACCCACCAGCCTTGAGTTATGATTATTCACACTGTTGACCCTCTATGGGGGAGGTTCCGAAGCAGTTGTCCAATATTGTCCAGTTCGTATGTGAACTAAGTCTGATATAAATATTACAACGTGGCATATTTGGCCTATGTCGTTTATTTCCATACTTTATATGAGATATGTGCAAATTTTTGGAAAATGTGGAAATATCGGACCGAAATATTCCACTTCATCTAATACAGATAAAAATATTGGTATGTGGAAGATTTAAAGGAAATCGAACATTGATATCCAATTTTATGCGAAATCATAAATTCCGATAAATTATATACTAGTATCCGATTTCTAGTCAAGAGAAATATTTAGATATAGCAAGTTGTATAGAATTGCCGACTTGTTTCAAAAGTTATGACAGATATAAATATTGGAAATTGTGAACCTATGTGGGTGAGGTATCAGAAGAGGTTGGCAGACATCTTTCATATTCACAAAAGATTTTGGATGTGTGAAGTTTGAAGAGACTGGGATGCTTATTTCACGTTTTGCTGTACAAAATTTTGAACCTTTTTTTGGGGAAGTACCGGAAGGAATGCGCCGATATATCTCATTTTCACAGCAGATCTTGTGTTAGTAAAAATAATGGCATGTGTATAATTTGTGGAGAACAATAATGTTTATTTCGGATTTTATGATCGCATAGGTTATTCAAAACTTTGACCCTTTGTGGGGGAGGTACCAGAAGGAATGGTCCGATCTCTACCATCTTTATAACAGATCTTGTGTTGATGGAAATATTGAGATGTACCAATTCTGAATGGAACCGGATGTTAATTTCGTGTTTTATGAGCTTCATGAATATTCAAAGTTTTGACCCTTTGTGGGGGAGGTACCAGAAGGAATGGTCCTATATATTCCATCTTCACACCAGAGTTTGGGTTAATAAAAATATTGGGATGTGTGAAATTTGAAGACAATCGGACTCTAACATCACATTTTATCAGAGTTGTAATTATTCAAAATTTTGACCATTTGTGGGGGAGGTACTTGATGGAGTGGACCGATATTGTCCATTTTCGCACTTTATCTAGCACTGACGCAAATATTAGGATTTGCAAAGTTGGAGCAAAATCGGACCCTTTCTCTTTCTGTGCAAAAAGTATATTTTTTTAAACATTTCGACCTTTTGTGAGAGAGGTGCCAGAAGGAGTGGACCGAATTCGATCTAAATTTGACAAAAATATTACGATGTCCCTAGTTTGGACCAAATCGGATACTTCCTTCGAGATTTATCGTGCGCACCAGCCATATAGATAGATAGACATACAGACGGACGCACATCTCTAGACCGACTTCAAATATCCTGCAACGGATTTAGTCCAAAGAGACCTGGGGTCTAAAGCCGATATTTAGATGGGGCAAGTTTTGGCCGTATCAAAGGATATATACCAAAGGATATGACTCGTTAAAAATAAATATTTTAAATATTTTTCTAAAAAAGTAGACGATTAAATTGCTGTGAGAAGATATAAATACTTAAGAAATGTATTGTGAAAATTTCTCTAGAGGAAACATTTGAAAATCCCACGATTACGAATCTTTGAAAAAATATTCTTTAAAAAATTGCCAGCCTTAGAAAATAATCTTCATAAAATCCAGGTGTTTGTCCAAAAAATCCACGTCTTTGGAAAAATATATTTTTTAAATCATGTCCTTAAAGCATTTGTGTTTTTAAATCCATTTACTTAAAATATTTATTTTTAAAACAATCATTGTCCTTAATTTTTTTAAGTTTTAAATTCACGTTCTTTATAAATCCATGTTCTCCAAAGAATTTAAAAATCCATATTCGTTAACTTTATTTTATAAAGTCCACATCCTTACAAAAATGTCCTTCGATAAATCCATGTCCTTAAAAGAATTTAAAAATCCATGTCCTTAACAGAATGTAAGAATCCATGTCCCTAAATTTTATTTTATAAAGTCCACGTCCTTACACAAAACATTCATTAATAAATCCAGGTTCTTATTGGGATTTAAAAATCCATGTCCTTAAATTTCATTTTAAAAAACCCACGTCCTTACAAAAATATTTGTTAATAAATCCCCGTCCTTAAAAGAATTTAAAAAATTTAAAAATTAATGTCCTCATTTTTTTTAGAAAATCCAAGTTCCTCCAAAAATATTCTTTAATAAATGCATGTTCTTAAAAGAATTAAAAAAAAAATAAAAATATATGTCCTTATTTTTTTTTTAGAAAATCCACGTTCTTCCAAAAATATTCGTTAATAAATCCGCTCCTAAAATAATTTAAAAGATTTAAAAATCAATGTCCTTAAATTTTTTTAAAATTCCAAGTTCCTTCAAAAATTTTCTTTAATAAATCCACGTCCTTAAAAGAGTTTAAAAAATTTAAAAACATGTCTTTAATTTTTTTAAAAAACAAGTAAAAAAACATTAAGTTCGGCCGGGCCAAACTTTTAATACCCTCCACCTTAGGGTAAAAGAAACATTAGAAGAAATGTGGCAAAAACCATTAAAATGCCGATTATGGGGAGGTACCGTTATATGGGGGCCACACCAAAACGTGGACCTATAATTACAATGTTTCGCCACACGGACTAGGACCCATTATGACCCACAAATACCAATTTTTAGACAAATCAGTGAAAAAAATGTGGCAAAAATCATCAAATTACCGAATATCGGGAGGTACCGTTATATGGGGGCTATACCAAAACGTGGACCTATAATTATAATGTTTCGCCACACGAACTAGGACCCATTATGACCCACAAATACCAATTTTTAGAGAAATCCGTGAAAAAATGTGGCAAAAATCATAAAATTACCGAATATCGGGAGGTACCGTTATATGGGGGCTATACCAAATCATGGACCCATACATGCAATGTTTCGCCACCGGAGCTGGAACCCATTATGACCAACAAATACCAATTTTCAAACAAATCCGTGAAAAAATGTTGCAAAAATCATCAAATTACCGAATATCGGGAGGTACCGTTATATGGGGGCTATACCAAATCATGGACACATACATGCAATGTTTCGCCACCGGAGCTGGAAACCATTATGACCCACAAATACAAATTTTTAGACAAATCCGTGAAAAAATACCGAATATCGGGAGGTACCTTTATATGGGGGCTATACCACAATGTGGACCTATACATACAATGTTTTGCCACACGCTCAGGGACCCGTTATGACCTACAAATACCAATTTCCAGACAAATCCGTGAAAAAATGTGGCATAAATCATCAAAATACCGAATATCGGGAGGTAACGTTATATGGGGACTATACCAGAACGTGGACCGATATATCTCATTTTCAATACCAACCATCCTAGACACAATGCAAATAGCTCTGCTAAATTTTGGCGCTCTACGTCAAATATTGTGGGCTGTATCGTGATTTCAACAGACAGACAGACGGACATCGTTAAATCGACTTAGAATTTTATGCTGATTATGAATATATATACTTTATGGGGTCTAAGACGAATATTTAAGGATGTTACAAACGGAATGACAAAGTTAATATACCCTCCTTTTCAAGGTGGAGGGTATAAAAATCCACGTCCTTACAAAAATATTCGTTATTAAATCCACGTCCTTAAAAGAATTTAAAAGACTTAAAAATTAATGTCCTTAATTTTTTTTAGAAGATACACGTTCCTCCAAAAATTCAATAAATCCACGCCCTTAAAAGAATTCAAAAATCCCCCACGTTAAAATAATATTTTATAAGAATTCACATCCTTTAAAAATTATTATATCCATGTCTTTAAAATAAAATTATATAAAAATCCACGTCCTTAAAAAATATACATAAAAAATCCGCGTCCTCTAGAAACATCTACAAAAAGTTCATATCCTCAAAAAAATATTCTTTGAATAAAATCCACGTCCTTAAAAAATTAGATTTGGAAAAAAAAATCACTTTGTGATGGTCGCTAAAAAAATAAATAAAGAAAAAACAAAGTCCGGTTTTATAGATGAGAAGTCCTAAATAATATATTCGTAGAAAAATCCACTGTTATAAAGTCCAATTTGAAAAAAATATTAGTCTTGCAAATATATTTTTTAAAAATAAAATCAGCAACTAAATTTTCTTGCAAAAGCTTTTTTTTTTTTGTAGAATCCACAATCCTTAAAAAAATAAATCCTTCAAAAAAAATTATTTAAAACGTCCACAACTCTAAAGTTTTTCAATTAACATTTTCTAAAAGTTCTATGCCTCTATTATATTTTTTGATACGTCTTTAAAAAAAATCCATCCAAAATCCATCCTATGAAACAGCCAAATCCTTGAAAAAAAAAAAAAAAAAAACAATCCACTATTATAAATTTCTGTGAAATTTGAAAAATATTCCTAAAACACAATAAACTATTCATTGAAAACCCAAGTCCTGGTACATATTTCCTTGAAAAATATTCTTTAAAAATATTTCTCAAAAATGCTATTCTGAAAAAAAAATACTTTAGTGGATACAAGTCCCTAAAAATAATCTTCGAAAAAATTTCAAGTCCTTGAAAAAAAATTCTACTCGGAAAATTATTCTGCGAAAAAAATACAAGTCCATGAAATACATTTCCTTGAAAAATTGGAATTTTGTTATGCAAAGCTCATACTCAGAAATAGTACAACAGACAATCATAAGTTCCATTCAGTTTGAAACAATTTGTAAATACTTAGTTTTATATTATTTTTCGGAATATTATATATGTTTAGTAAATTGAACATTTTCAGTCCTCAAATTACCAAAAATATTGAAACTGATAAATGCAACTGATTAGCAGTCCTCAATTATTGAAAAACAATTGTGTTTTAATTATATTTATTAGATAATATCTCTCTCCCTCTCTCAAAAATTTCGCTATGTTTGTAAACATGCAAAATCAAATTTTGAAATTTTCCATTAGTTATGAAAACAGCCCTCCACACTGCGATTCAACTATCTTCGCCATTGTATGTCGAAACAAAAGGTCAACAATGCAATTAATGTTTCGAAAAAAACACCCATTACAATCATTAAAGGGAACTTAGGGCCAGTTTCTAAACCAACCTCCTCTCTCCGTCGAAATAAGAAAATCATTAAAAACTAGTGTGGCACAGCCAGGATCCTTTGTTGAACTGAGAAATTTTTCCAAATTGCTTTCGTTCCGTTCTTGTCTTCGTTGCCTCGTTCCTCGTAATGAGATTTCTAATTAAATGTGTAATGAAGAAGATTAACAATTGAGTTAAGGACCCCACGAAACAATGATGTCGTTTGTTAAGCGGTCAAAGGATGGCAAGCTAGAGAGTGAAGAGGGAGAGGAGGAGTAGTGGAGAAAGTCAAAGTGGACCATTAATTCAATTTTCAAATTTTGAAAAGTGGATGCTCATACCTGCTTTGCTGTTGAAGAAAAAGTGTTCGGCAAACGTTTGTAAATAATTGGATAGTTGGCAGTTGCTGCTCTTGTTCTAAATTGTTTAATGAAAAGTAAAAACCACAATAGCAACATTCTCTCTCTCTCCCTTCTTCTCATTCCCCTTGAATTCGAAAATAAAAAGACATTCACGTTTCTCCTCTAATTTTTTATACCCTCAGCCATATGGCTAGAGAGGGTATATATCATTTGATACGCCCAACACGTGTCTCATCGAAATAAAGGTTTTACACTTTAGGTCTCTTTGAACCAAATCCGTTTCAGGAAATTTGGAGTCGATCTAGCGATGTCCGTCCGTTCGGCCGTCTGTCTGGCTGGTGGGCACGATAAATCTCGAAAAGAGTATCCGATTTGCTTAAAACTTGGTGCATCGTAATATTATTCTCTATCTTAGATTGAGTTCGGAGATGGGCAATTTCGGTGCACTCTTTCTGGTACCTCCCCCCAGCTCGAAATTTTCAAAAAATATTTTACTGCACAGAAAGAGAAAGAATAATCCTATTGTGCTCTAACTTTGCAAATCCCAATATTTACGTCAGTGCTGAGTCAGATGCGAAAATGGACAATACCGGTCCACTCCATCAAGTACCTCCCCCACAAAGGGTAAACAATTTTAAATATTTTCAGCTCTTATAAAATGTGATGTAAGAGTCCGATTGTATTTAGATTACACTCATCACAATATTATTATTAACCCAAGGTCTGATGCGAAAATGCAATATATCGGTCCACTCCTTCTGGTACCTCCCCCACAAAAGATCAATGTTTTGAATAACCAAAATGATCATAAAATCCGAAATAAGCATCCGATTCTCTTCAAATTACACACAACACAATATTTTTATTAACCCAAGGTCTGGTATAAAGATGGAATATATCGGTCCACTCCTTCTGGTACCTACCCCACAACGGGGGTAGCTCATAAAACACGAAATTAACATCCGATTCCCTTCAGACTTGGCGCATCTCAATATTTCCATCAACACAAAATCTGGTATAAAGAAGGTAGAGATCGGACAATTTCTTCCGGTACCTCCCCCACAAAGGGTCAATCAATCCGAAATAAGCAATTGATTTTCTTCAAATTACAACCATCCCATTATTTCTACTAACACAAGATCTGCTGTGAAGATAGGATATATCGGTCCACTCCTCCTGGTACCTACCCCAGAAAGGATCAACAATTTTGAATATCCATGAAGCTCATAAAATGCGAAAGTAACATCCGATTCCATTCTGACTTGGTACATCTCAATATTTCTATCAGCACAAGATCTGTTACAAAGATGGTCGTGATCGAGCCATTCCTTCTGGTACCTCCCCCACGAAGGTTTCAAATTTTTGAAGAACAAAACGCCTATAAAAACGTGAGATAAGCATCCAACTCTCTTCAAATTTCACACATCCAGCCATTTTTACTAACGCAAATTCTCTTATGAAGGTGATAGGTATCTGCCAACCCCTTCTAATACCTTACTCCCAAAGTGTAAGAATTTTCAATACTTTTGTATGTCATAACTTGTCAGCGATTCTTTACAAATTGCTGTATCTACATATTTCTCTTAACCAGAAATCTGATATGAATATGTAATTAATCGGAATTTATGATATAATCGGAAAAATTGGATATAAATGTTCGATTTCCTTTAAATTTTGCACATATCAATATTTTTATCTGCATTAGATGAAGTGGAAAATTTCGATCCGATATTTCCACATTCGCACATATCTCATATAAATTATAAGAGAGGTAGACGACAAATATGGCACGTTGTAATATTTATATCAGACTTAGGTCACATACGAACTGGACAATATTGGCCAACTGCTTCGAAACCTCATACCCATAAAGGGTTAACAGTTAGAATATCCATAACTCAAGGCTAGGGGTATATATCTGTCGGCAAAACCGACTGATACTATTTAAGTGGCTTCCCTTTCATTCGAAAGGCAACATATACAGGGTGAGTTAAAAAAACTGCAACAAAGTCAAATGCCATAATTTTTACTTTTTTTTTTAATTTTATTAAATGAAAGCATTCGTATTTGGCCTCCAAATTTTTAAACAAGACACCACGTAGCAGTGACTTACTGACTGAAGGGCCAGCCAGTCAACTCACTATCCCCCCATCAATATTGCGTAAAACTTTCCATTGTTGAATTTCCATTGAATTCATTCATTTCCCCCCTTCGCCAACTCTAATTACAGATCCTTTTACTGGTCGTGGCTGTTGCCGTGTGTCAGGCAGCTCCTGTGGACGATGAGTCTGCCGCCAAATCGAAACGTGGACTACACCTAGGCTTGGGTTATCATCATGCCCCCTTTGTCTCACACTCCTATGTGGCTCCAGCTGTTGTTCATCATGCTCCAGTTATTGCCCACGCACCGCTCATTGCCCATGCTCCCATCTACACCTCACATCACATTGTGCCGGCCTACCATTCGTATCATCATTTCAAGTAAAAAAAAAAGAAAATTAAAAACAAAAAAAATATTCCAACACCTACATCAACGCATCCTTCTTCGAAAATCTGACTCGCAGACATGTTTGATGCAACTTCACGGAAATTTATGAAATTTATGAAAAAAAAAAAAAAACAAAGGACAACAAAATAATTCAACCGAAAATTTATTTGACAAGGCTTTCAATATACGTTTTGTTTCATTTCAATTAAAGTGGACAAATTTCGATGGAAATAATAAAAAGAGGTCATGAAAAATTGTGAGTTTTTTTAATTTCGTGGTTTTCATTTTGGTTTGAGGTGAACGAGAACGTTTACCGTGGGCAGGGGTAGTGAGAAATTTGGGGGAGAGGAAGGGGAAAACAGAAGGGCTGGATCTAGAATCATGAAATTTTGCATGGGAGTCGATTGTGGTTCGAAGGGTTCAGTTGAAATGTGATTTTTGGAAATTCGTACCAGGAGTGAACGAAAGGTACCAAAAAGATGTCATCTTTCTACCATTGAGTTCTACAAAACTTTAAACATTTAGCTTTTGTTAGAGTAAGACCGTGAAAAGTCAGAACTCTTTAGTCTTCGTTTTGAAGTGCAGGAAAGTCTTGGAAACTCCTGGGTTGTCAATAAAACTCTGTTGGGTTCCAGGTCATTACAATGTACCAGGTAGTGAGACTGCAGATTAATTGGTAAGGCTGGATATCCCATCAACTGTCATTGAAGTTGAAAACATGATTAGACCACCCCTGTGCAACTTCTCTCGGGCACTACAGGTTGAAATGAAAAAAATTCCAACCAACTTCAGACTGCTGTCATTTCTAAGCCACTCGTCCGACAGCTGTTAAAATTATTCCTGTGACAGCTCATTATATTGTGTACAATCGTACAAAAGCATTTTGGTGAGAATTTTCCAGAAAAAAAGTTATTCGTGATGGTACTCAAGCGTGATAGTGTGATTTCTTTATATTTGGCTGGAAAACCCCACAAGTGGCTATCGTTAGAGTACTCCAGCATTTAAATGTGAACAAATCTTTTGAGCCTCATACCATCGCTCGTTACCGTGATACTGGTAGCGTAGCCCGACATATGTCAAGGAAGTGGACGGAGGAAAACAGCAACATAAGCAGAAATGGTTCGAAAAGTAAAAAAAGCGTCTTCATCGAAACCCACGTCGCAGTCGCCGAAAAATGGCTCGTGAGCGGAACATATCGCAATATTCCATTCGGCAAATATTGAAAAATGAGCTCGGGGTAAAGCCATTGAAATTCCAAAATGTGCAAGAACTTACACCGCAATAGAAATGAAAATAGACTCAAAAGAGCTAAAGAGTTGCTTGGCTTGGCCGAAATTGGTGAACTGTCGAATTTGGTTTTCTCGGTCTTCGATGAGATAACATTCGTTGTCCAGCAGTTTGTCAACAAACAAAATGATCGTGATTACCTGTCAAAGAGGTAAGCTGAAAATGTACACCTTCGGTTGGCCACCAGAACTCAATCCTCAAGTCGGACATGGTAATGGTGTGGGCCGCCATAACAGCCGATGATCGCTCTACGCTCGTATTAATCGACCGTAACATCAGAATAAATGCCGAATATTATAGCGAAAATATTCTGGAGGGTGTATTAATGCCTTGGGCACGCCAACATTTTGGCCGCAGACCTTGGACATTCCAACAGGACTCAGCAGCATCGCATTCAGCACGCGCCATCCAAGAATGGATACAAAATGAGGTTCCTCGCTTCATTTCCAGCGCACAATGGCCACCAAAATCTCCGGATACCAATCCGTTGGACTATTGTGTCTGGAGAATTTTGGAAAGAAAGGTTGACACTTCGCCGGGAATGGACCAAAATACGGCAGAGGAACATTCGTGCAGCGTGTGGCGGTTTCATTGGCCGTTTGAAGGCCATAATTCGTGCCAAAGGTGACCAATTCGAACAAATCTAAACTTATTCTAAAATTTTAAGCTATTTCTGTCTACCATCTTTATAGCAGATCTGAATAGAATCAGATGTTAATTTCGTGTTTTATGAGCTTCATGGATATTCAAAATTGTGACCCTTTGTGGGGGAGTTACCAGAAGGAGTAGACCGATGTTGGGTCAATAAAAATATTGTGATGTGTTTAATTTTAAGACATTCGGACACTTAGATCACATTTTCTAAGAGTTATAGTTATTTAAAATGTTGAACCTTTGTGTGGCAGGTACTTGATGGAGTGAACCAATATTATTCATCTTCGCACCTGATGTAGAAAATGTTGGGATTTGCAAAGTTGGAGCAAAATCCGATTATCGTTACTCTTTCTGTGCAGAAAATATATTTTTTTGAAAATGTCGACAGAAGGAGTGGACCGATATTGCCCATCTCCGAACTCGATCTAAGTTTGACAACAATATTAAGATGTACCAAGTATGTATCAAATCGGATACTCTCTTCGAGAGTTATCGTGCCCACCAGCCAGACAGTTAGACGGACGGTCGAACATCGGTAGATCGACTCCAAATGTCCTGAAACGGATTTGGTCCAAGGAGACCTAGGATCTGAAACCCTTGGGCACGTTTTGGCCGTATCCTCTACATACCCTCTATATATAATAAATAAACGTTGTTTTTATAAAAACAACAATAAAGGGATAAAGCCTGACCATTTTGCAACAACAAAATATACCTTCTCTTTATATATAAGTATATACCCTCTCTAGCCATCTTGCTGAGGGTAGAAAAATAATGGGCCATTGTCAAAAATTGGTTATTTTAACATTTTTGGTCAATATTTTCATTAACCTAAAGTTTCGATACTTTAACAATTTCATAATTTATGAAATAAGTCCCATACAAAATTGATGTTGTCTATCATTGACCGTTTCCCCAAACACTTGTCTGCCAACTACTAGCGTCGCAAAGGAAATCAATACCCTTGTGGGCCAAGCATTTACATCGCAGATTTTATGCCTCTGGTCTTTGAAAAGTCTTATTATTTTGCTTTACACATTGCCCAACACAAGGAAAGTACGGACTTTGGAAATGATGCCATTACCAAGAATTCGAACGAAATCACACCTGTGTTGCTGTTGTTATTACAGCTGTAGTTTTGACAAAATCTACATTGCACCAATTTCCCCATCTGCCCGACAAAGACTGGCTGAGAAATAATTGCTTATAATTGCAACATCTCTTAGAACTTTTGCCTCATTGAGGTGAAGAGTGGCAATTGCAACAACAACGGCGAATATGTTTACCGTTGCAATTGTCTTGCCGGGGATGTACTTTAATTTTCCACTCATTCCCCACCCACCATAAACACACAAACGCAGGGCAAACAGCACTTTAACCCTCTTAATGAGTTGCGCCCACATCCTTTGTTTGCCTCAGTTATAACAACAACAACAGCAGAAAAACAACCGGAAGCATGGCTGCTTGCACTGCATCAAGTGGTAGGAAAAATAATAATTACAGCTTCTAAGCCGAGCAGACCCCTTACCCCATTACGTTGCCATTAAAATCTGACGAGGACAACAGGCATGCAAGTTTTGAGTTGTTATTGGCAAACACACTCCCTCTCCCATTTTCTCTCTCTCTATCTTTGGCACACATTAAGACGAAATATTTATAAACAAATTAAAAAAAGTTTTTCTTTTTCTTCAATTAGAAGACAAGTTAATTGTATTTTTCCGGGTACTTAACTTGCCGGCATTCAATTTGCACCGAAAGTTTTGGTTAACCAAAGTTCTAGATTAGCTGGAAGTTGAAAGAGAGAGAGAGAGAGAGAGAGAGAGAGGAGGGCCGATAGTTACCCAGCGGATTTTTTAGCACATACATCTTCCATCTGAGACCAATGACAATGTAGGTGCGACCCATCCAAAGCCTGTATACAATTTCTACTTACATTTACACAGCGATGGCCTAGGCCGTCAGACGAGTCCGAAATCTACCGACAATGTAAGCGAATGTTGGATGGGTCCGAAATCGACCGACAATGTAAGCGAATGTTGGATGGGTCCGAAATCTATCAACACTGTAAGCGAAGGTTGGGTGGGTCCGATTCCATCAACGTTTTAGATTGTGGAACTTAAATTTCAGCTAATTTTTTTTATTAAAATGTTCGTATTATAGAACAGTGTTTTCAACAATAAAATAAATATTAGAAATAATGCATAAAAAAGAGATTCATAAAACTTATTCAAAAGACGTGGAAGAAACAAAACTTAAACTAAGGGGAATAAATTAAATTTTTCCAGTTTTTTATTGTAGGACATTGTTCCGAAGTGTCTGGCCTTATACAATTTGAAACAATTTCTAATTTTTGGCGTAATCCTGTTCATTGAATCCTTCACATATGACAGCTTCTGAAATAAGGACAAAAAATATAGAACAAATTTTTAATATTAAACAGTTATACTACTTTTTAAGGTAAAATAATATCACTTTTCAATAAATATGTAAGAAAAAATTTAACTTACCGAAAATGGCCTTGATCCTTAAACGCCTTTTTATTTTGGGTACCGTCGTAGCTGTAAGATAATATTAAAGAAATGTCAATAATCTTGTAGAAGTTTTTAATAAGGCCATCTGGTGAAGTTATAATTTTTACGATACTAACCTGAAAGAAATTAAATTATTAATGGATTTTAACGGAGAGTTTTTAATATTCTTACATATTTTCCAAAATCTTCTACAATTTTGGAATGCATGGAATCTGCTCATTTAAACTTTTTTCAATATTCACAACTTGCACTTTCAAAAACACTTCACAGAATAAAATTTTGCTTTTAAAAAGAAAGAAGCATCAAAAATGAATAACGGTACAACACCGGCTGCAACAACACACAAAACAATACAAAGGCATCCGATTCAGATGCAAGTGCGATGGACACATTTTATTATATTTTGTTTTGTTCTTTAATTCTAATATGGATTTTGTTCCACAATGTAATAGCAATGTGACTCATCCAAATCGGATGCTAGTTGTATGCTATAAACCACTGTTATTTCATTTTTTTTCCTATTGACAAAACAGCATACATTTGGATGGGTATTAAATTGTAATGGCCAGCGGACTGCTGGGTAAATACTGTTACCACCAGTAATTTAATTTTGTGAGAAGGAGAGAAAAAGGAGAGAAAAATCGTTTCGGGAGAAAGGGAAAATGTGTTCTCATTAATAACTTACTCCATGATCTTTTAATGAAGGAAGTCCTGACAGAATACCGGAAGTTAACCAACCAGAAAAATGTTGATAGGGAAAGTGTGTCACTTTCGTTGTATAAAATTTCATTACCAAATAATGACATTTAGGCACCAATATCTACTAAAACAAGTTAACAACTATCAGTCGGTTTTGCCGACACGAAATGTCAATATTTAAGAAGTTATGAGCATTTTAAAATCGGCAATTTTTCTTTTTAAACATCTGCAATCAAAATGACGCTAAAACCCCCGAAATGTCGATATTTAGGGAGTTATGAGCATTTTAAAATAGGTTATTTTTCCTCTTTAAATATCTGCAATCAAAGAGAGAGGAAGGGGAAAATACAACGACTGAATCTAGATCCAGGAAATTTTGCATCAGAGTCGATTGTGGTTCGAAGAGCTTAGCTAAAACGTGATTTTTGATAATTCGTACCAGGAGTGAACGAAACGTACCAAAAAGGTGTCATCTTTGTACTACATTGAGTACTACAACACTTTAAAAATTTAGCTATTGTCGTGAAAAGCCACAACTCGTTAGTCTTCGGTTTGAAGTGCTGGAAAGTCTTGGAAAATCATGGGTTGTCAATAAAACTCAGTTGGGTTCCAGGTCATTACAATATACCAAGTAATGAGACCGCAGATGAACTGACAAGGCTGGTTTTCGAATCAACTGTCATTGAAGTTGAAAACATGGTTAGACCACCCCTTTGCAACTTCTTTCGGGCACTACGGGGTCAGCTGAAAAAACTGCAACCAACTTCAGGCTGCTGTCATTTCTTAGCCACTCGTCCGACAGCTGTTAAAATTATTTCAGTGACAGCTCATTATATTGTTTACAAGCGTATAAAAGCACTTTGGTGAGAATTTTCCAGAAAAAAGTTATTCGTGATGGAATTCAAGCGCGGTAGTGTGATTTCGTTATATTTGGCTGGAAAACAACAAGAGGCTATCGTTAGAGCACTCCAGCATTTAAATGTGAATAAATCTTTTGTGTCTCGTACCATCGCTCGTTACCGTGATACTGGTCAAGGAAGTGGACGCAAAAAAACAGCAACATCAGCAGAAATGGTTCGAAAATTAAATAAGCGACTTGACCCAAAATCGTGTCTCAGTGGCCGAAAAATGGCTCGTGAGCTGAACATTTCGCAATATTCCCTTCGGCAAATATTGAAAAATGAGCTCGGGGTAAAGCCATTGAAATCCCAAAAAGTGCAGGAACTTACACCGCAACAGAAAGAAAATAGACTCAAAAGAGCTAAAGACTTGCTTCGCTTGGCCGAAAGTGGTGAACTGCCGAATTTGGTTTTCTTCGATGAGAAAGCATTCGTTGTCCAGCAGTTTGTAAACAAACAAAATGATCGTGTTTACTTGCCAAGGAGGTCAGCTGAAAATGTGCTCCTTCGTTGGCCACCAAAACTCAAGCGCCGGTCATGGTGATGGTGTGGGCCGCCATAACAGTCGATGGCCGCTCTCCGCTCGTATTAATCGACCGTGGCATCAGAATAAATACCGAATATTATAGCGAACATATTCTGGAGGTTGTATTAAAGCCTTGGGCACGCAAACATTTTGGCCGCAGACCTTGGACATTCCAACAGGACTAGCACTATTGGGCCAAAGAGGTCAGGTGAAAATGTGCACGTTCGCCAGAACTCAAGCCTCAAGCCGGCCATGGTGATGGTGTGGACCGCCATAACAGCCGATGCGACCGCTCGTATTAATCGACCGTGGCATTAGAATAAATGCCGAATATTATCGCTAAAATATTCTGGAGGGTTTATTAAAGCCTTGGGCATGCAAACAGTTTGGCACTCAGAACGCGCCACCCAAGAATGGTTACGAAATGAGGTTCCTCGCTTCATTTCCAGCGCACAATGGCCACCAAAATCTCCGGATACCAATCCGTTTGACTATTGTATCTGGAGTATTTTCGAAAGCAAGGTTGGCACTAAAAAATACCAAAGTGTCGATCACCTCAAGCAAGCGCTTCACCCGGGAATGGGCCAAAATACCGCAGAGCAACATTTGGGCAGCGTGTGACAGTTTCATTGGCCGTTTGAAGTCCATAATTCATGCCAAAGGTGACCAATTCGTACAAATCTAAACTTAGTCTAAAATTTGATGCTATTTCCGACATTTTTGCTTTCATTCAATAAAATTTAGAAAAATGAAATAAAAATTATGGGGTTTTACTTTGTTGCAGTTTTTTTATCTCTCCCTGTATATATACCATAAGAAAAAAAATTCATTGAAAAAAAGATTCTACAAATCCCCAACATGTCCTTGGAAAATATTTAGATTTATATTTATATTTATAATATTTAGAAGCTTAAAATGGTTGTCGGATATAAAAAATGTCCTTGAAAGAAATTAAATATCCAAAATCTATTCAAAACCATATCTCTGATATATTTACTCTTAAATTTTATTTCGAATTATTTTCAAATTATATTTCAAATTTTTGCCCCTCTTTGGAATTGTCTGTTCTCACTTTCCCTTTGGCACATATAAACAACTTATTTTTATTCCCACATTACCCAATAAATATTTATTAAATTCAAATGCCGGAATATTGAAATCGAATAAAAACAACAAAACAAAAACAAGTTCACGTTTTCACGCCACTGGGAAATCAATGATGACTCGCTACCAGAGAGCTTTCACCTGAACGAGGAATGGCAAGCAACGAATATTCTTAATCAGTAAAAATTGTTTAAATTCTCTCGGGTAATTTATTGAAATTCATTGGAAAACAATCCACTTCATTCATTTCTTTCGCCCATCCCTCCCTTCCCACCGCTCTCCCTACTACCAATTAAAATGAAATTTGTGCATCGATGGGGAAAAATACTACCAAGAGGAGAATGTAAGGATGTGTTTGTGTCTGTGTGTGAGAATGGTTTGCTATAATTCATTGACTTACCTCGAATTCCAACGAAGGTGGCATCAAGGTATGCTATTCTAGATGCTGGTGGTTGTTATTTGTTCCCTCTTTCACTGCGGATCCCGAAGTGCATACGGCGTGTTAATGTGACATCAAGATTTATGGTGACATTAAAGCAGGACCTGAAACCAAGTGGAAGACAAACAGTGAGGCAGGCGGCAGCGCGTAAGTAGATGGCGATGATGAAGATGTAAAAACGTACTATTTTATGGCAAAGATTAAAGCACTGCTCCCAAGCTAAGGTATTAACAAATAACGTCAACGACATCATCAACAACGGCAGCAACAACTACTGCTGCTGCTGCTGCTCCTTAAACTACTACAGGAAAACAATAACAGGAAAATGATCGGTAATTGCAATTTGCCGTGCGCCGTGCGCCAAAGGAGCCGAAGAGAAAAGCGTCGCTTTTTAGAAAATTAAATTAAATTGCTCACGGCAAGACGTGAGACGTGAATGCAACACGTCGGCTGTTGCGCCAATCGACAGCAAAATATTGCTTGACTCCTTGAAAATAAAAAAAAAAAAAAAACAAAGAAAAAAAATGCCAACTAAACAACAACAGCAACGACGCAGTCAAGCGTTTTTTCAAAAGGATAACATCGACGATAACATAAGGAAAAGTAGGTCTAACAAAATGGGAATTTCCCTAATGGATGTAATGCACAGTGGTTCGTGGATTTTCCTGAGGAACAATTATTTAAGAAAATATTGGGATTTTTCTTGAAAATTATTTATTCAGGATATTTTATGGAATATTTAAAGGGCCTATCATAAAAAATTGAGTTTTTAAATAATATTTCTTAAGGACTGCTGTGGATTTTTAAAGAGTATTTCCCTTCTCTCCAGTCTTTGAAAAAATATTATTTTTAAAACCTTGAGGAAATATTTCCAGTCCTTGTAAAATATTATGAAATCCTTTGAAAAACATTCATTGTCCCAAATAAAATCCTTAAAAAATAAATCGTTAAAAAAATAATAATGAATACCCTCCACCGTTATATCGGAGCTGTGCGAAGACAATTTTCTGTTACAGGCTATAGCATCCAGTACGAACGTCAAATACGACATCTCAAACAATTTCGGTGGGTATTGTACCTAAACTCGTCAAAATACCGAATATAGGGAGATACTGATATATGGGGCCTATACGAAGACCTGGACCTGCATAGACAATTTTCTGTCACACACTGTAGTTCCCATTACGAACTCTAACTCTATTACGAATTTCAAATACCAAATTTGAAACAATTCCGGTGAATATTGTCGCTAAAATCATCAAAATAACGAATATCGGGAGGTACCGTTATGTGGGAACTATATGAAAACTTGGGCCTACATGGCCCATTTACGAACTTATCCTGCATACTGGAAAAATAAACACGTGTGCAAAATGTTAACCTTCTATCTCAATTCGTTCGAAAGATAGCGTGATTACAACAGACAGATATACAGACGGACATGGCTAAATCGACTTATAATTTTACGCTGATCAAGAATATATAAACTTTGTTGGGTCTGACATGAGTATTTCGAGGAGTTACAAACGGAATGACAAAGTTAATATACCCTCCATAGTATGGTGGAGGGTATAAAAATAATAAATATAATTAAGTTTTTAAAGAACATTTTTCAAGGACTAGAGCAGATTTTTAAAAAATATTTTCTACCCAGTCATTGAAGAATATTTTGAAATCCTTGAGAAAATATTCCTAGTCCTTGGAAAATATTATGAGATTCCTTGAAAAAACCTTCATTGTTCTAAAATAAAATCCTTGAAAAAAAAAATAATATTTCAAAAAATTATTTTTACATTAGAATAATAATTGACGAAAAAACATTCATTGTCCCAAATAAAATCCTTAAAAAATAAATCTTTCAAAAAAAAAAAAAAAATAAATAAAAATTATTTTGAGTTTTTTAAAGAACATTTTTCAAGGACTAAAACAGATTAAAAAAAATATTTTCCACCCAGTCATCGAAGAATATTTTGAAATCCTTGAGAAAATATTCCTAGTTCTTGGAACATATAATAAGATTCCTTGAAAAAAAATCATTGTTCGAAATAAAATCCTTGAAAAAAACAAAAAAATTTTTAATCTTTCCAAAAAATTATTTTTACAACATTGGATTAATATTTGATAAAAATTAAAAATAAATTAATAAAAATCACGGTTATGGTCCTTGAAGTTCCTTTAAGATTATGCCCAACAAATCATATCTGATAGTCCTTGAAAGGATTTTTGTAATATTCCACATCCGACATTTCCTGAAAAAATCCATATCCGAAAAAAGTTTTTTTTTTAAGTACACAATTGTTTCAGATTTTGAAAATAATTCTGATGTCTGAATCATTTGAGATAATCCTTGAAAAAATACTTTTATACGAAATTCAAATAATAAATAAAAAAACTGCAACAAAGTCAAGCGCCATAATTTTTACATTTTTTTAAATTTTATTGAATGAAAGCAAAAATTGTCGGAAATAACATCAAATTTTAGAATAAGTTTAGATTTGTTCGAATTGGTCACCTTTGGCACGAATTATGGCCTTCAAATGGCCAATGAAATCGTCACACACTGCCCGAATATTGCTCTGCGGTATTTTGGCCCATTCCCTGCGAATCGCTTGCCTGAGGTGATCGCCACTTTGGTATTTTTTAGTGCCAACATTACTTTCCAAAATACTCCAGACACAATAGTCCAACGGATTGGTAGTATCCGGAGATTTTGGTGGCCATTGTGCGCTGGAAATGAAGTGAGGAACCTAATTTTGTAACCATTCTTAGGTGGCGAGTGTTGAGTGCGATGGTGCTGAGTCTTGTTGGAATGTACAAGGTCTGCAGCCAAAATATTTGCGTGCCCAAGGCTTTAATACACCCTCCAAAATAATTTCGCCACGGTCGATAAATACGAGCGGAGAGCGACCATCGGCTATTATGGCGGCCTACACCATCGCCATGGCCGGCGCTGGTGGCCAACCGAAGGTACACAATTTCAGCAGACCTCTTTGGCAAGTAAACACCACCGTCTATAAATCGAGTGGAGAGCGACCATGTTTTTTTTCATCTTACCCTGTAGTGTGTGGGGTTGAGATTTGGAGGTGGCAGTGACAATTCTGACCCGTTGTGTGGGAGGTACTACAAGGAGTGATCCGATATATTCCATCTTCGCACCTGATCTTGTATTAATAGCAATATTGAGATATGCCACATTTGAAAGGAATCAGATGCCCATTTTGCCCTTTTTAAGGGTTATGGTTATTCAAAAATTTTATCCGCTGTGATTGAGGTAGCAGAATTAGTAATCCGTGATATTAGTTTTTCATACCAGATATTGTGCTAGTACAAATTTTGGGATGTGCCAAAGTTGAAAACAATCGAAATCTTCTTTCATATTTTACAAGAGTTATAATTATTCATAGTTTTGACCCTTTTGTGGTGGAGATACTTGATGGGTGGGCCGATATAGTCCATTTTCCCACCTGCCCTACAACTGATAAAAATATTGGGATTTGCAAAGTAAGATGATACTTTTTTGTTCTATAAGGTAAATCATTTTCTGTGACCATTTGGACCTTTTGTGGGTGAGGTACCAGAAGGAGTGGACTGATATTGCCCATCTCTGAAGCCGATCTAAATTTGATAATAATATTACGGGATACCGAGATCATTGACATTGCTAGATCAACTCCAAATGTCCTGAGACGCATTTGGTGCAAAGAGACCTAGGGTCTCAAACCGTTACTTCGATAAGGACGTTTTGGCCGTACCCAAATGATATATTCCTCTCTAGCCATATAGGCTGAGGGTATAAAAACATAGACGCCTGCTTCCCCTTTAGGAAATATTTTTAAAAATTTTAGGAAATATTAAAAAAAGGTTTTTCGGCACTCCTTAAAAAATATTTTAAATAATTTATATTTATAATTTATTTATTTATTGTTGTTTTTATAAAAACAACGTTTGTTTATTAGTGGAGAACGAAAAATTCCAAGTCTGATAATCCTTAAATTTTTTTTTATATAATTCTCGTTTTGGATAGCCCTATTTTTAAAAATGTGTTTAAATACACATTTTCGTGATTGATAGTCGTTGAATATATTATTTTATAAAATCCTACTCTGATAGTCCTAAGAAAAATTATTTCAAATTATCCTCAGTGAATATTCATTGAAAAAAATGAATATATTTTCTTTCAATTTCTGGTTTTGAGGTCTGGTAGTCCTTGAAACAATTTATTTCTTCTCCTCATTTAATACACAAGCTAATATGTATTAGTTGTCAAAATAAATTGATAAGGGTTGTAACATATATTTTTCTCAAAGCTATAAAAAAGTCAACTCCAACTGTCAGCAAAATGTTCGGATATTTAAATCAACAACAAAACATCTATCAATATTGAAAACTTCTTTCGCTTTTGCAATTCCATTCAAAGGGAATTATAATTAAAAGGAATTTAATTAATTATAATTTAAAGACACAACCCTTTGTGTCAAGTTTCTTCGTTTTTGGCGAAGAATTCCTTATGCCTCCCCCCTCGCACCATTGTTGTAAATATTTATTTGTCTCAACAACTTATTCATTAAAATTTGATTAATTACAGCTCCAAACTTAATGATGAGGGTGGCCCATTGAATTTCCGTTAATGATATCTCGGAGAGGACGACATGAATGCTGACAACCACACGACTGAAAGGCGATTCCTTGGAATTACAAGGAAGTTTTGTTAAGCGGATGTCGATGCATAACACTTGTTGGTATTTGGGGAGGGGTGAGAGGGGGGAATTTTCAATTTCAAAAAAATATATAGAGAAATTAAATTACATTACAAATTAAATGTGGACAAATATTAAGTTTTCTCAACAAAGGCGTTTCTTATTCACTTGTGACATAATTAGCCGATTTTAGACCATATCCTTTATGATTTTTATTTTTATATACGAATGACCTATCTGTTATACATGTAGAACAATATAAAGACTATTTTCGACAGAGAATATTTAAAAAATATTTATTACTAATTTTGTTTCTTTCATTTTGTAAAACACTGTGCTCGCGACATCATTAAAATATGCGTCCTTAACTAGCGTTGACTCGTGAAAGGATAATGTGGATGGAAATC